AATAGCCTTAAAAAATTCCACTGCAAAAACTGCACACCTGATGATCTAGCAAATAATATTTCCAAAGCAAAGACTTTGTCAGGCAGGACAAGTTATCTTGAGTTATACAACATCTTAAATATATTTCAGAAATAATTATGCCAAAGCACCCATAGAGCAGAAAACTTCCCTTGCACACTTTCTAGCTCCTTTAAGCCTTCAAATCTATTCTCCTCCAAAAAACTAGATTCTTCCCCCAAGAGAAAAAAAACACAGAACCCAAAAAACTAGAAGCCTCTCAGAGAAAAAAAATATCACCGGAATATTTATGAAATTAGGCCCATTCTCAATTTTTTCAACAGGGCACAAAAACAGCATTCAAGCATACAACAGGCCCAACTATCTTTCCAAGTACTTCTTACATCATAAGCAAAGGGGGATTATCAAATTGAATCAAGCTAAGAACAGCATATTTACTTAAAGACAATGAACACTTAAAAACTCCTCTTGAACTCATCAGTTAAACAGAGGAAGACAAAAACAGATTGCTAAGCAAGGCTAAAAATGTTTTGGAATCTATTTAAGCTGAAGACTTATTTGTCATCAATAATATTAGATGATCTCTAAGGTCCCTTCCAGCCTATGCCATTCATTCTATGTAACAGCAGACATACTGAATGCCTTGGAGAACTAAATTTAACCACCAGGATTGTTCTTCTACCCATAAGATGCAAGGATTTCCCAGTGAAGTCAATGACAGTTACATACATATACCTTTATGCAGAACTTGTTCTTGAAAATATTGACACATCTAGTCTTGTCTGTGACTTCACATGACTTTTACCCCCCTCTGGCCAGATATGCTTTGCAATGAATCAGATGGAAGAAAGTGACAGTATTTATACAGGTATCTATACAAAGTCATTGAAAATTTCTTCCATCCCCAGCACTAAGGCACATCGTAAGACGACTCAACTATCTTTCAAGCAGGTCAACCTTGAGTAACAAAGCATTATCCTTTGCAATATATCCACTAGGTTCCAAAATTTCTATTAGGTATTTGTATTCTTTGTAATTTGTTGGACCTTGACTGAATTCTAAATAATTACTGGAACTTAGCAGGTACAAGTCATTCTCAAGTGCTTTCGAACTTAGGCTCTTCAAAGCAACAACTGCCATCTAAAAAAACACTACTGCTAATAATCACTGCACATTTTCTACCATTTACAAACAAATCAGAAGAAAGCTTTCAGTTAAGCCTTTCACAAAACTTATTTTAGAATTGCTTTAAGACCAGCATACATACAACATTTTGTACAGGCCAAGCAAGTGGCAACCTCCCATGGACTTCAAAGAGTCTTGCAAAAGTTTTCCCTCAAAACTCAATTATGTCAATTTTAAAAATCCCAACAATTTAAAAAATTATTAGTATTAACATATACTGTTTGATCACTTTTTATATATCATTTGAATATTTTAAATCCAACAAGTGCCTCATATGGCATCAATATTTTGCCTTGCTCTTTATTAAGGCCTATGGTTGCTTGCTGAGAGGGGTTAATTCTCTTCTGTGGCTGTGGTCATAGTAAGATATGATTCTAAAAATATCCATTTGCTTCTTTAAAGAAATAAAAAAGCTGCAGGTTCTTCCCCTGTCCTCTGAATGCCCCCCAATGTAGTAAAGACTGGTATACTCCAAATAAAATATTTTTTAAAATCTTTAACATTTATTTTGAAGTTCTCACCAAAGAAACAGAAAATCCAGCAGTTGAAGACTTAATGCAAATCAGTAGTGCCTAAAAGGTGCCTAACACCACTTCAAAATATACTTATTTCAATTAAAATTAAGATGACTGGGCTTATAAATTACAGCAACTGTTCATACATGTGCGCATGTGTTCAGCTGTAGAGATTAATGTTTGTCAACATCTCTACTACTGATTACCTCCTAGTTTGGAACTCCTATTCTCAACTAGCCTTCTTCCCATTCCTCCCCTTTCCCCAAGTTCCTCCCTACACCCAGACAAAAAAATTAGAGCAAAAATATCTAGAAATGTACACTCTAATCACTAACATCCAAGTGGATTTCAACACCAGGCAACATGTTGAGTCTTTTCATAGTTGCAGAAACTAAAACTACAGATAACAATAAATTCACTTGGGCAAGTAGCACATTTTTACACTGTCTTATTAGTCTCCATTCTTCTAAGCCATTGCCAAGACTCTTGGTTGCCATTTTATCATCAAAGGCACAAGAAAAGAGAGCTTGATGATTAATTCTAAGGCAAGAAAGAGATCCTGCTGCTCAAACAGAACAGAATGAAAATGAAAAGGTGATTCGTGTACGCTGCCATCCTTGTCACACAATTGGCATCAACAGCTCTCAAAAGCAGAAGAGCTGCAAATCTGTATTGAAGTCTGGTATTCTGAGGACTGGAATCAAAGGGATGATTGACAGCAATGTGCAGCACTCTTTGCTTTTCCATGACAGATGAACATTTAAGAGAAACACCGCTCATTTCACAGCATAGCTAATCTTTTCATCTTGAAGTTGGAAACACTATAGTGTCAGGTGTAACAAATGCTTATACCTCAAAGCATGTTAGAAAGCTAATTGTAGCTCCTTTTAATTAAGAGTGCACCATGTATTTTGGCTCTTTTTCCCTGACCGCACAGAAGAAGAAAGCATTGCATCCAGGAAATGCAGGGCAAGGGAAGGGAGAACACCCAAACGAAGCCGTTACAGCTAGGTACCAGATACTGCTTGCCTTTATCTGCTGAAGAGTACTTGTAGCACTAAGATTCTGGAGTGATACTGTGTAGTAAGCATTTGGAAAAAGTCAGACAATCTGCAACCAAAAATCGTATTAAGTGTTACCCAGAGCTTAGCTTTTAACTGGGTCCTCAAAGTAAGGTGGGGGAAAGAAAAATCAGGTTGAGAAGTCCAATTCTGTGCTCCATCAATAAAACCAAAACAGCACAGGAACTGCTCAGTTTTAGTTACCTTTAGATTGTATGGAATGAACTTGCTACACTTCAGGTTATTTTAAGTATTTTTTCTGAAGTTATGAGTTAATATTTTTCTGAATTGAAAGTTTTATTTTTTCAATTGTAGAATGGTTTGGGTTGGAAAGGACCTTAAAGATCATCTCGTTCCAACCCTCTGCCATGGGCAGGGACACGTTGCACTCAATCACGTTGCTCAAAGCCTCATCCAACCTGGCCTTGAACATCTCCAAATTTCAAATAATGTTTGAAATTATTTATGAAACTGTAATACAAACACATGATTTGCTTAAGAACATATTCAAAAATATTCTGCTGACCAAAACTCCCAAGACCTTGAACAACTGGCTCATGTAGTAACAGTGACAGTTTAGTTGACATGCAAAAACTTAAGTCCACTAAAAGAAGAGTCTCCTATTAAGCATGTGTGCTTGGATTGCATTTTCTTGATTAATTTATACATTTCAAGAGACAGAGCTAGCAAAGCTTCATTCTTACCTGTAGGCATCTACAACCTGAAGTTCAAAAAAGATTAACCCCTCCCACTGGTATTTGGCCCAGAACATGTAGTGAATAATGAAGCTATTATTGCTTTTCACTTAGAATCCAGTGTCACCAAAAAGACCCTTTATACTCAAGTTCTGAAATCAACACAAAAACAAAATTCAAACGCATTCATATTGCTATTTGACTATTTCTCTTGGCCTTAAAACAAAACAAGATCAACCGCTATAAAGAAAGTAAGGAACTTCTTTCAAATTAATACAAGTAAAGTGATTTCTTCACAGCAGTTTATATATGTAGCCAGCTCACTGTTCCACATTTAACATGTCACATTTGCAGTTCCACATCTCAATACATGTAACAAGTTGAGGGAGAGAACTGTTTAGGGCAAGAGACTAAAGGCAGAGCAGATGTAAGCAATAAGTAACACTGCCAGGAACTGTCACCAATTTTAATATTTGAATCAAAAAGTTGTCTTGAGGTCTAAACAAAGATCAAAAAGATTAGTAACACAAGAAAAACTGCATGGGAAAACTCATTATTTCCTGATAACCCTCTGAGGGATAAGCAAGCAGGTATACTTTCTCTTCACCCAAAGAAAACCTCAATTCAGGAGTTGCAGCATTCTCAACCCCCCCATCTCTTCAGCACCGAAGCGCAGCATCACCTTAGTGCTGCTGAACACAGCAACAGGCAGGAGCAAGGGAAAAGTTAGTTATAAAGGCTTTGCCAATAAAAATTTTATAGGAAAAAAAGTTATATAGAAAGCGATTTGTATTAAGAGGTTTGAAAAGCAACTGAAGCGATTTCTCCAGGAACATTAAGAGCAAATCCATCAAAAGCTTATTTGAAGCAAAGAATGAACCAGTCTGTCAAGTATTTATCCCAAACTTCAAGTTCTCCCATGTATTTCATACATCACAAATCTTGGTTTCTTCCAGTAACAGGTAAGAAGGACAGGCCCATCCTGTTTCAAGGATCCACATATCCTCTAAGCTTAAATTTAGACAGTCTGACTATTTTGAACATCTCTTACTAATCCTATTCCTTAGGAACTGGTATACAGCAGAAATAAGTGTGTTTGCAGATTCCATAATAGCAGTGGAACATTCTGGAAACAGCCAGTTGTGACTTTCAGTCAGAGTCAAAAGTCATCTTTGTTCTGGAATAACCATGCCCAGAATCATTTTCCTCCCTAGAGATCCATGTTTTCTTCAGACAGTTTTCCCAGCAGACTTTTCAGATGTGACAGCTCACAAATACTACCTACCTGACAGTAGACAGAGGTTGTTAGCATGGGGAATGTATTAGACCAGCCTTCATGCCACATTCAAAAGTTTCCAGAATATACCCAGTCCTCAGTACACAACATGTATGACCCAAGAATGAACCTAGGGAAGATACTCTAAAGTATGCATCAATTTGCATCCCTTATCTATTGGGAGCAGTGATACAGTGATAACCATTTTGGTTAAGAAATAATTCAAGAGGCCTCTAAACAAACCACTTGCCTTGGAGATCAACTCATCATGATTGGCCAGATGGGCTCTGCAGTGGATACAGCTGTAGGTCCGATGACAGTTTGGCAGGTAAGCCTGGAACGTTTTTGATTTTGTCATTTTTACCATCTCTGCAGGTGGCTCCTCACTCAGCTCAGGGCTGGCACTTGAAGAATTACAACTTTGCTGAACTCGCTGACAAAAGAAACACTGGAATATGCAAGCAAAAGCCGTTGTTGTTCTGGAGTGTGTGTGGCACTTTCCACACAAATGACAGAAGAGAAACAGTCACAACCTGTAGATGAAAAAAGCAGAACAATTAGCAGCTTAACACAAGGCCAGAATAAACCTGTTATTCAACAATTCTAGAGACAAAGCAAAGTGTTATTTAGAGCAAACGCCTGGCTACACTACAGGCCCTTTTTTTCTGTGAAGTTGCTCAACTCAAGTTCCATTCAACACAGCAACAAGCAGTTCTGTTCCACTAGTGTTGTCTACTCAATCACATTTCTAAAGAAGGAGGAGATTCAAACTGTTCTCCCTGAAACATAAGCACTTTCTACAATATACCAGGTATACTCTTTAAGGCATCCATGCAGAAAATTACAGCAAAAAGGCAGGAGATTGGAGAAAGTGAATTGTCTTTGAAGTTCCAGTGGTCAGTTCCAATAGAGCAAGTGACATCTTGAAAAATACTCACTATGTCCAATGATAAATATACAATAGTTATTCACACTTTGGCTTTCAGCAAACATCTTGCTGTATTGCATCTGGCTTTAAGTCAAATACCAAGTAAGATGCTGCCACTCTACTCAGGGATACATGTCTCTTCCTCTTTCAAGCTCAGCAGAATTATGCCTTTAGGCAAAGACCTTTTTGACTAGTGTCCTGATTGAAGTTAATCAGATACTTCTTCAGTCTACCAGAAGAGTCTTAACAGATGCTACCAAAATAAGTCAGATGATAAAAGCTAAATTCTACATAGAGAATAACCAATTGCATTCTTCATCCTCAGAGCGCCTTTAAGGGACATTATATGCATAAACAGAGAAGGCCAGACCTTCCTGCTATGGTGGGAAGTAAGCTCTTTAGTTAGCCTGGACGTTACAGATTCTAAATATTCATAACAACATCTACTGATCTGTCAAAGGCCAACAGTTACCACGCTATATGCGTCAAGCTGATGAGCAATCCAAACACGAACACTGCACAGTCACTTATGTCATCAGCAATCAGGTGACTGACAGAGCAGGTCAATAGCACAAACACAGAAATGAGAGCCAATACAAAGAATTTACAGTATCTTCATCTAGCTATTAAAATGAGTATGCAAAGCACTTATTGCAGTTGTAAACCGGGTGCAGGGCAGCAGTTAAACACTCTTCTAGCAATAGGATACTAGTAATACAAATAGAGCAATTAACAAAAGCAACACAAATTAAAGACAGTTTATAGGAAGCAGTCATTGCTTCAAAAGAAGTCCTGAAAAAGTAATCTGCACAGCAGGCCTAGCAGAAGTGACAACCACAGCAAGATTTAAGAGGTTTTAGTTCGGTTTGTTGTGGGTTTGGGGTTTTTATTGGGGCGGTGGGTTGCCTTTTTTTAATCTCAAACTTATGAGAGAAGCAGGAGAAAAGACTCGAGAACTACTGAAGGACTTAACTGCAAGAAAATTCCTTACACAAAGAACTGCAAAGGCAGGGATAAGCCACAAGCAAGACACACAGAATATATGCAATCCAAAAAACAAAGCAACAATGGAAACAAGTTGGCACCCAAAGCATATATCTACACATCAGACTGGACTTTGGCAAGTCACTGAAGAGGAAAACGGATTTGATAAGGGATACATTAATACGCTTGAAATATTAACCCAGTTACTATGAAGAGCAGCACTTAGTTATTAATACAGTCATTTGGACAAATATTGTATCTCTATTGTCCCAAGATAATTTAATTACAACTGCAAAGGGAAGAACGATTACAGTGTTTGGAAAGAACACTTTGCTTTTGTAGAACAGCTAGATACTAAGCCACATTTACTAGAGGTAATAGATTCCAGGAGAAAGACGACACAAAAAATACAATCCTGGGAGTTAAACATAAGGTTACCTTTAAATTTCCTGCTTGAGCTCAATGTTAGAAAGATACAGATTCAGCTTAGGTTCCTGGAAATGGAAAAAACCCACCCAGGGTTCCAGAATGAAAGGCACCACAAACAAAGACGTTTTGACTTTGGATTAGACCCTTTCAATCAGTAACTGAAACATGAGTTCAGTGCTTGCAAAAGTTCAGCAAGTTGAACGTAAAAGAGGAAAATATTTTTCTTCAAGGCATTCCTAGAAGGTCTTTTTATTCATGTTTCTAAAGGCAATCCAGAGTCTTTCGGACTCAGTATACCAAGCCCTTCAACTACAGAAATTAAAGAATTTCAAAGCTCTTTTGACGAAACTGTACTCGATACTGCTCTTTTCCAAAAGAAGGCAGCCCTAAGTGTTTGATACACGCCACAGAACTTGTCGCTTTGTGCTGTTAAAGGCAAGAGTCAATACTTAAACCATTTCTCAGCTTTCTCTAGCAACGGTGAATTAAACCAGTCTGACAGTGCTGAGCAGCAGCAGGTTCCACAGCTGCTCTTCAGAACTCTGCGGAAAGCAGCGTGAAAGCCCAAGGCAACTACTTCTTCCTTATTCTTAGACAACAGCACAGTCTGTGCTTTGGTCAGGCACATGACAGCTCGGTTTCCCGAAAACCTAAGGAATTTGGAAGAAACCGCAAAGTTAAGCGCGAAAGCCAGCGCACAGGTTGCCATCCGTTCCAAACCACCGTCCACATCCCGTTTCGGTGACTTGTGTTCGCACCTACCAGCCCAGAACCAGCAGGAACCTCTGGAAGCACTAAGTGCACTCGCCGCAGCCCGGTACAGCCGGCGGCAGGAACCTGAACACGAACACACCGATCGCTCCGC